GGATGCTTGGAGCTGGAGATGGCGATCCCTTGACTTTCCATCCAAAAATTTCGTAGGTGGCGAGCTTCGGTTGAGCTTCGCTGTGAGCTACATCGTTGTACACTACCTGTGTTAGGAGTACTATATCACTTTAGCCACGTCTGTATCTCCTAGTTGCTTGTTTGTATAGCCCAAAGTCACTTTGTGTGGAGATTGATGTTCTTTGATATAGGCAGTGACGCGATATGCTGTACCAGAGGATTTGTTTGAGATATTATAGATGCAAGATTGGTCAGCGCGAGGCCGTTTGATAACTGGCCGCCGAGTTTTAGGCTCACTTGTAGCCACCCTGGATGGCGTCTTCTCTTGGGCTATGGAGTGCTAGGCGCCGGATTTTGATCTCGAATACTTGTTAAGGATTCAATATGCAGGTGAATTGTTGAACATACCGTAAATCAAACAAGTTGACCGGTTGGGACGCAAACCACTTAGCATCAATAGAACACTACTATGTCTTTAAGATTAAGAGCCATTATCCCAGGTTTCTGAACTACGTATTCCCGTTATCAAGGCCTCTCATAATGCTGTCAAAGAAAGCCATATCAACACCCTGGCAGTTCTCTCTTTCATCAACAAACTCGAACTCCTGGCTCACAGATCTACAACCTCGCCGCTGGCAGCCAATGTAGATGGCTTCGGCATTAATGAAGTCGCCAGAAGAGCTTGAAATTCTCGCGGCATGATTTTCATGACTTGACACCATAGTCGACTCAATGGTTAGTTGAATGGTTACATTCAAATATTTCAAGAGTGTGAGAAATGGAGCTCAATTCTGCAATTTGGTAGAGGAAAAAAAAAGCTAACAACACATAAAATTGGCTATACCACAGGACTGATCGGGGGCATTATGACCCACCATTAAAAGATCACTCCACCTAGAGATTCGAGCAATACAAAATGTGAAATGAGTGAGGTTTCTAGGGTCATTCAATAAGGATACTTTTCAAAAAGTCAAGAAGGCCATCTTAGAGACTGTGCCCGAGAGCGAGGAAGCATACACAACAGCCTTACAAAGTCTTCCTTCCAAGAATCTCACATTTCTCCTAGTCTTCCTGAGTCCCAAAAGGTCCTATGACATGACAAATATATGTCGACGTTATCACCGATGATGACTACTATCAAGTCCTATGGGAAAAAAGACCTTGTTTCACCCGCAGTGGTGATGGGGGACTGGAATATGACTGCCGCGGGACAAGTGCGCCATTAGTGGACATAAAGTCGATTCCCTCTCTAAGTTTAATTGGGTTTATGGGGAGATGGCACTGGATCAAGTTCAAGGAGCCTGATTCATATGACTATGTACCTGGGTAGGAAAGAGATTTGAAAGAATCCAAGACTGAAAGATATCATATCGGTGCGGGGTGACATAGGTAAAGGGCTCATTACCTTTTCGATTCAGTGCATGTAGTAAAACTGTCCCTTCAAGGGACACATGATTATATTTCGTCGAGAAAGACTACGCAGTCTCATTATGGGAAACAACAACTCCTCCATCCTTCTTCTCATCGTGGTAAATCCGTTCCTGCTCACGGTCGTACTCCTCAGCAAACTTCCTTCCGTGAAGACCGATTTTGTACCAGGGAAGGTCGAACATCTTGTCGATAGTCTCGAGGCTGCGACCAGCGGCCTCAGGCACAAAGAGCCAAACCCAGAATCCACCAAGAATGGAAATGACTCCAAAGAAGTAAAAGGTTCCGTGAGGGCCAAGACCTCCATGCTCAAGCAACATCTCGGGCAGAGAGCGGTTGACAGCGTACTGGCAGATAAAGTGCATGGCCATGGTAATGGACGAGCAGATACCACGAATACGGAGAGGGAACAGCTCCGAGGAAAGGAGGTACTGCCCACTGTTCCATCCTAAGGCCCAACCGACACCGGAAATGTAGATGAAGGCAATGGCAGCGGTCGATGCACGGCTCTGCGTCTCGGAGGGGACAAAGTCGGGGTTTTCGGCAATGGGGACGAGATTGAGGAAGATAGCAATGTAGAACATGGCAATGGACTGAAGAATAATGCCAATAATAAGAGAGCGCTTGCGGCCTGCCATATCGACCAGGAAAAGAGCACATATTATGGCAGAGACGAATTTGACGACGCCGAATACAACGGTCGAGAACAGGGACTGCTCTTGGCCAGTGATGCCGACGAGCGTGAACAAATCCGGGGCGTACACAGTAATGGCAGAGCCACCGGACCAGCAAGCCATGTTCTGAGCGAGGTTGGTGAGGAACAGACGGTACGAGTTGCGTTTGATGCCAAGTATCTCCTTGAACAGGCCTTTCCAGCCCATGCCGAGGGTGGCCTCCATCTCTTCCTGGAAGGCAATGTCCATTTCGGAGATCTCGTTGAGAATGTACGGGTGGTCAGCAGGTAGGCCACGGAGCTTGCAGAGGACCTCGAGGGCTTTCTCGCGCTTGCCCTGCTTGATATAAAAGCGGGGGGACTCCAGCTGGAAGAAGGTGAGCAAAAGGATAATCCCGGCAAACATGAGATGTAGTGAAGTGGGGACAGCCTATAGAGGAAGACGTGTTAGCCTACTTAGCACAACAATGATTGTAGTGGCCAGCACTTACCCAGCGGTTAAAGGAGTCCGCCATGTGAATCTGAGCACCCCAGTTGGCAAAGTAGGCAATCATGATACCACTGGACTTAGCATTAGTAATTGAAAGCGATTCAACAGGGCAGATAAGCATGAACTCACAGGTACACAGCACCAGTAAACATACAAGTGCAAAGACCACGGATGGGAGCGGGGGAAATTTCAGAAAGGTAGATGGGACCGACGACACAGGTCTGCCCAATACCAAGACCAGCAACAAACCGACCAGCGTAGACGGCATCCATGTTGCCGTTGTTTCCAATAAAGATGGCGATTCCAAGAATCCAGAGACAGCAGAGTTGGCGAGTGGCCCAAACACGACCGATACGATCACAGACGACAAAAGCACTGTTATTCAATCGGGATTAGCAAAGGCTCTCAGGTATATAACCGACGGTAATAGGGTTTGATAGCAAGACTCACAACAGAGCACCGGCAATACTGCCAAGCTGAACCATAGAGGAAATAGTACCCTTGATACTAGCGAGATCACCCTTATTGAGGTCATCAATACCGACAGACTGCTTGAACGAGTGGGAGTTGAAGACACCCGTGATGAGACCCTCGTCAACACCACGGGCAGCACCCATGAGACCAAACGCAAAGACGGCGAACCATAGCTTTATATTGAGGGTCTCCTTAGGTAAACTGCCCGTGTTGAATTTGAAGACATTGACAACAGCACCACCTGCCATGATAAATGAAGCTTTTTGTAGTTTCTAGGCTGGTCGTGAAGAGAGAATGAACAGGTCAATTGTGGATCCAAGTGATGAGTCTGCATAAGAGACAATGTGGCAGCGCTGTAAAGCTCAAGAGAGCAAACCTCGAATGAAGCCGATGGGCTCAGCAAGGGTCTTCGAGGCTGGCAATAGAAGAAAGAATTGTATGAGAAAGAGCCTGCAGTAAGGGAAAAAAAGGTATGCGGGAAGCGGGCATGCACGATCTCTTAAATTTCAATATTGCGCCACGAGGGCTGATACAGCGCTGCATCGAGCTTTGGTCTTGATCATTCCGTATTCCTCAATTCCCCGATGCTCGGACAAGAATACGCCCATAACTTTAGCTGTCCACGAGGGATAGAGTTCGATCGGCCATGTATCAAAGAGTGCAGCCCGTACCCCAGCTCTTACCCCATGCCAAGCACGGGTGGTGGTTTGCGGGCCAATAGCCTCCAAAACTCACATCAATGGCGCTTTCTTTCGTGCCCAGCCCACTCTGATATCCCTGCAAACTGGGCATATATGACGCATACTTTAAGTGAAGATATCCTCATTTGCCCGCCCCTTCGGATGGTTTCCGAAACCTCAATAAAGTTGGACCCCGAAGAGACCGGAAATCTTGGCACTGGACATTGTGTGGGAAGGCATCTGATGACCTTGCGGAAAAATGTTGAGTTGCAGCGAGCCTGCAGTGCAATAGCCTTGGAAGGACGCAGGTCACCTTTCAAATTAATTTTGGAAATGCTTGCTGCCATGTGTTAGGAGCATTGTGCGCCATTGAAAACCACACCAGAAACAGCGGCGATGTCGCCAAATGAAAAAGAAGGTGATCATTTGGACTCGGGATCCAAGCTCTCTTGGCACCTGTTCCCCAAGTCTTGGCTTGTCTTGGTGTATTACCGATAGTCGGGCAACGGCACAATTTGATGGTATCAGAGACTGGGGTTTATACGACTCGGCCCAGAGAACAGAGGAGGAGAAAGAGAGCAATTAGGCCCCCGGTTGGCTCGCACTGATGATTCCGACTCCGGTTTTCCCCATAGATTTCCCCGCCTATAGTACGGAGTACGGAGTAGACCAGCGTAGACCGAAGGAAGTGGGTCACACGGACGAGGCAGCAGGACGTGCACAAGCGACGAAATGACTCGTGTGATCGGGGAGGTGAATCCTTCGAGATAAACGGGACAGTCAACATGATCTAAGCTTTGTGGAATGAATGAGCATTTTGTGGAAGGATAATATATATTGCGTCACTGGATAATATATATTCTAGGCACTGTATCGAAATGGTACCACATGGTCAAATCGTAGTCAAGCCAAATTATACAGATCCCAAGAACTCGAGGTTAGATGAGAGGCGACAACTCAGCCGCATTTCGCGACTGAAAGCAAGGAGTAAGCGGGGTGGGAAAGCGGGCTGTCCGATTGGATGCAATTGCAGGGGGCGAAGAGTACACCGTACATTGTGATAGAGGACTTAGATGAAACTGAAAGGGAGATCCTTTTGTGACGGCGTAGCATTCGCCAAGCCTAAAAAGACCAAACTAACCCAAAAAGGAAACTCATCCTTCGTTTACTCCCTACTCAATACATGAAAACATTGGGGTATGTAACAGGTAAATGAAAGAAATCACACATGCCACTCAACTATGCATTAATGCATCGATGTCCACACGCTGGTAGTAGGATACATGGCCTATCTGCTTCCAGTAAAGAGCCATGTGGTCAGGAGAAATAAGGATCAATTGGGAATCAATGTAGGTGTCTAATAACATGTTAGAAAAAGATAGAAAAAGAGCGATATAGTTCATCTGCAAGGCTTACCGTCAAGAAACCCTAGTCCAGCTACATGGCCGAGGCAACGCACAATTCGGGCGCCAGTAAAAGGCTCATCCATTGCGACACTAACCAGGCCTCTGGGGCCAATGTCTTCGGCAATAAACGACAATTGCCCACGAGGAACATTGGAGTCACCTGTCAGCTTGACGGCGTGTAATGGACCTCGCTGCCCAACATCCTCCTGGCTGTCATGTTCGACCTCGTCCTGGGCATCGATTACCTTCGCCTCTTTTTCGTCATCGTGTGCTAACTCCGCTATCTCTTTCTGGATCATAAGCAGAAATTCACACCCGTGGGCCTCATAGTCTCCAACCCAAATTCCCTGGTACGGTTTCTCTGCAGTGGGTGTGTAAAGAACGGGATCGAGAGTTGAGTAGGTTAGGCTTGCTTTCTTTGGTACCGGCGACAATTGAAGCTCTGGGTTTGCCCACGGGTTTCCCCACTTCCTGACACGGAAGAAAGTTTCTGATAATTCCGACGGATGCCTTACTATTGGCGGTGCTGAGTCCTTCAAATCACGAACTGTGCGTGCCCTGCTCGGGATGGTTCGTGGTGGCCAAAGTACATTGGGTTTGAAACAAGGTCCCCGGGGGCTGAATGAGGAGCAAAACGATAGTGATGTGTAGATATTTCGAGCATCCGAAGCCAGGATCATGCGTCGTTCCTCTGGCATATAGTGGAGAGATTGGATTGGGGCTTTTCGGGAGGATGGATCAGGGTCATTGAGAGACAAGACAGGATCACCCAACGCTAGATAAACACTGGGTTCAAAAGACTGAATAATAACTTCTGGGTTTGACGCCCATGTTTGGAATCCAGCAGTACCACGTTCTGCAACAACTTGGTGTGCTTCAATTACACCCCGGTGGTTATCATATCGAGCTATGATCAGCATGCCCGTGTGTTCAGTATCCGCGAACCAAATCTTATGCTGGGGAATGAACCAGCAGGGATGATATGCAAGATAAAGACGACGGAAGGATCCGAAGGGGCCTGAGTTCTGGATAGGAGTAGGTAGTCTCTTGTTCACCAGGTTAGCCCATAGGAAGTCATTCAATGCATGATCGGCGAGGGCTCGGCAAGTGGCACCGAGGCAGGTGAGATCTGGGGCCGAGAGATAAGACGCGATATCTTGAATGATCTCAGCGGGTAATTTATCAAGAAATGACAATTGACCTGCGGATGGACATATCTGCCCATCATTAACTAGCTGGTCGTAGGGACCATCGTTGCTTTGTTGCTGGAAGATCAAAATGTGAGTACAGGGCCGTCTACAATACTTTTTGTCAAGGGTGATAATTAGACATACCCGGCTAGAAAGAGTGCTAATCGCCATCTTTTCTCTGATGCATCGAGATTTGCAAGAGATAAGTGAGATGGTTGAGCCTCTTCAGATCATGAATGACATCACTTGGAGACTTAGGAGAGGGGAGATGCATGAGAGTCACACGGAAGGGAGGCGAGCCTGACAGGAAAGAGGATAAGCCTAATATTGCCAATATTGTCAATATTGCAGGGTTTTGGACAAACTTGCATTATTTCCCAGTTTTGTATTTGGAGTGAAACTTGGAAGCTATCGATACAGTGGTGTGGCAGTGCGGAGTAGGTAGGTACCTAGCTCTGATCTATACTGTACACATACCCGTGGACAATACATATACACTCCCCAATATCCTCCGGGTAGCTAAGTATATTGGAAGATATCGTTTGATTGAATTCACAACTATACTTTTCGATATATCTCGAGTTTGGACACAACAAAATACGTCACGTGTGTTGAAAATGTAAACATCACGCGTATATCATCAGTCATCAGAAGTTATACATAAAAAAGCCTCTTACACAAAATATGCTTTTCCGCCTTTTTCTGCCGTCTACAGACTGGAAAGGGGGAGAACTATCTTGAAGATAATGGGGCGGAATAACTGGGAAACCTACTGGGAAACCTGTCGAGAATAGCGCTGAGCAACCCTGTAAAAAAGACATCATACGGGCGCATCAGCGGCCATCTACCCTTGTATCACCTGATTGCCTAAAGAAGCATCTTGTTTACGCTTGCCGGAATAGGAAGTATGAATCCAGGCACGCGTCTGAGCGCCTGCTGCCTATAGAGCCCCACTTTGTTTGTTTACATCTTAATTTGTGATCTATAGAATTATTCTTCAAAGCTCATCCCTACGCAGAACACTCGTACTCAGTGGATGTTCCTGTATTTTACTTCAATCATTCTAATATACTCCCATCTTCAACATGGACATCACTAGGTCAGGAAGGAAACGGAAGAGCTCTCTTTCAGACCCAACAAGCCACTCTCCAGTCTCACGTCGGACTAGACAGAGCTTGGCAGCGGTGTCACAAGATGTCGGCCTCCATCGGCAGCAAGCAGCAGTCTCTATTACACCCAAGAAATCAAGAAAGAGAGTTCGGTTTTCCGACCCAGGTCCTCGGTTATTAGATGATGCAGATATTGGGTCGACTGGCTTGACTCCAGCAATGCGTCGGACATCTTTCGAGGCAGAATCTGGGGATCGCACACCTAGCCGCAAAGCCCGACGCAGGTCTGCCCCAACACCACGCTTCCAGCGATCATATGACACAGAGGAGCCGTTCGATGAAACATGCACCGAGCGAAGGTTTCAATTTACTCCGCTCCGCCAAATCTTGGATACACGGACCCAGAGAAGAATCAGGCGAATTGGGTTGAGTGATGAGATCAATCAAATTGAGCGCGAAAAGCGTGAGACGCGCAAGATGGAAAAGACATTGCGAGCTTTGCTTCAAGAGCGAGATTCTCTGAAAAATGAGCTCGGAGCCCTGAAACGAGGTGGAATGGGCTTTGAGGACCCAGGTTCGGTAGCTGAGTCCTATTGGATGACACCCGACACACCCAGGTCTTGTGAGGGAGTGTCTGTCGTCTCTAATCACAGTCAGGATGATACTGTTCCATTTTTGAACTGTGACGCAGAGACATTTATGTTCAATGACAGTGCAGTCATTATGTCCAGCTCTCCTGATTTCCGGGGTACTCGAAGTCATAGTCCGCCCGTTACTGATAGCATGATGCTAACCGATGGACTCCAAACGCCCATTCGTGCCACCCAAATGCATACTTTAGCCAACACAGAGGCATCTGACATCCGCTCCCTAAGCCTGAATCTGGAAGCTGCCAGACAAGAAAAGAGCGACCTGTTCAATGCCTGTCGATCACGACTCTCAGGGCTCAATGACCCTACCATCAGTGGCCTTTTCAGCCAGTCTTCTCCGCCGTCGGACTTCTACGAAAATGTTATGAAGATCTTGGAAAATGCTTTGTCTCGTGCTTCCGATGCTGCTGAGGCTCTTGAAGGAGTCACCCAAGAATGCTCCAACTTGGGATTCTGCGGGGACGGCGTGGACGATGTCATATCCGACATGCAGACGCACTTCCGCTCAGCTCGCCTCGGGCTTGAGCGTGCGCTACCAGGTGAAACTGCCAATATCAGTCTTAAGGACGGCAAGGCAACCCTAGGTGCGCTGGTGGAACGGGTGGAGTCACTTGCAAAAGATCTGGGGACAGAACGCCATTATCACCACGGCTCTCTCGGCCGAGAAAAGGCTCTTCGAGGGCAGTTTGATGCTTTACTATACCGATATGAGACAGCTGCCAAAAAGATTGAGACTCTCGAGGATGCAATCGCATCTTCTGCGGGCGATATGCTCCACACGCGGATGCGAATGCAAGACCTCGAGCGTGAAGGCCAAGAACAGGCTGTTGGGATTGATAGATTAAATACAGCGCTCGACAAGTATCATCATGAAGTGAAGGGTCTCGAAAGTCTTATCGATAATCTTGAGAAGGAGAACACGGCTACAAAGGAGAACTACACTCGGCAGATATCTAAGCTGAAGAGACAAGTGGCTTACGAACGCTCAAAACGCTGTTCCGCCGAGGCTACTGCTGCCGAGTCTGACTCTCGCATCCAGGAGTTGGAGGAAACAGTCGAACACAATCGAATTCGAGCTTGCGACTTGATGGCCCAGGTGGAACTTTTGGAAAAGGAATATGAAAGAGCCGTCGAGAGCCTAGAGAAGAACACTAGTGAACTTCATACGCACGCAGCAGAGACTGGTACTCTCAATGTTCGCATCTCAGACCTCACCACATCGCTACATGACGCCAATTCTGAGGTGCAGCGTCTTCAAAATCTTAATGCTGGCCTTGAAGAACAGCTTCAGCTAGAAGTCGAAGCTCGAGACGAGCTTCTGGACAAGTGGGCCGCAGATCAAGTGCGATCGTTCGCCCACATGAAGGAGACCGTCAACTCGGAACGTCGCAGAGCTAAGGTTCGTGCGGCCAATTGGGAATTGAAGTCGGACGACCTTATGTCAGATGGCACTACAATTGGCACTGGGAGTGAACCAATTACACCCGTTAGTGCCCGGTTTGTTGATATCGAAGTCGGCCGTGGCAAGAACCGTCGGCGTATGGATACCGAAGAACTGGACCATGACATTTCGGATGTCGGCAGCGGTATCGGATCCCATATCAATATTCAGCTTCCCGCGCCAGATTTGGCTTAGCTTTTGTAAACAATGGTCTTGTCATTTATCTATTTTTTAAACTCGGCCTTGGCTTTGATACACTCGGTCTTGGCTCTTATATACTTTGTCTTGGCTTTTATATCTTCACATCTTCTATTTTCTATGGCATTCAACCCATCTCCAGATATCATATTGGTGAAGTCTTCCAAGTTTGCGGGGGTCGTCTATTATTCCCCTGTCGGGGAGAACCCGGAGATAGGCACTCCGTACGATTGTTAAACGGGTTATATGTGGAGCATTACCCCATCCCCGGAGCTGATCTTATCCAGAAATGATGAAACGGTTACTACGCTGAGTCGCATTTAATCTATAGACAATCTCCAGATAACAGGAAGCGAACTCATATATATTTGCAGGCTGGAGCCCGGGATTTCCATGCCTCCCCGTGCCATTCACACTCTACAATGAGACTGAAGTCTTCAGCCATTTGCCTCATTGCAAGCTGCGGCTCGCTTTGTAGCGCCGCAGACCGAGTCCTCAAACATGGCTCCCCTGAATCAGTGGGACTTCTCGCCGAACCTCTTCACCAGCTACCGCAGAACTTGAGCCAGTACACTATTCCTGCCAATTATGGAGCACCTTCGCACAATGTGATTCACCCCATTCAGCCCGGAGGCTCTGTTGTCATTGGCCACAAGGCCACTATTGTGAGCTCGTTCGCTTTCGGACATACAAATTTGTATGCAGACTCCAATGGCACATTGCTCCCACCCTCAGAACGGACCCAGGCCAAAATGGACACAATCTACGACATGGCCAGTCTGACGAAAGTGTTCACTGCGGTAGCCGTGCTGCGTGCCATTGATGAGGGCAAGCTCAGCTTGGACAAGACCGTCGCATCATACCTTCCTGAGTTTGCGGCCAATGGGAAGAGCAACATCACTGTCCAAATGCTGTTGACCCATATAAGTGGCTTTCCTCCTGACCCTCTGCCTGGTCTGTATGAAGCACCATACAAGACTATGCAGCAGCGCGTCAAAGCTGTCATCGAACATGAGCTCGAAAATGCTCCTGGATCTACCTACACATACTCAGACCTGAACTTCATGAACCTGCGCTTCTTGCTGGAAAAGGTCACCAAAACACCATTCGAGGAGTATGTCTATTCATACACCCATGCCCTCGGTATGAGAAGCACCTTTTTCAACAAGGGAAACAACCAGTCCCCTAGATTCCGTCACTACGCACGCATGGCGCCGACGGAATACCAGAGCGAAGTTTTGGGAGATGCCGAGCCCAAGCGTCCCCAGCCAGTGCGAGGAACTGTGCACGATGAGAATGCCTGGGCTCTTGATGGTGTGAGCGGACATGCTGGTCTCTTTTCGACCGCCGAGGACGTGGCGATCTTCTGTCAGATGATCCTGAATAACGGCACATATGGCGGCAAGCAGATACTGAAGCCAGAGACTGTGGACTTGATGTTCACAAATTTCAATACCGCATTCCCTGGTGATGAGCACAGTATCGGTTTCGAGCTTAACCAGTACTATTTCTCTGGACCCATGGCCAATATGCTGTCTGGAGGCCACACGGGCTTTACTGGTACCACACTTGTTGTTGACCGGGCCTCGGATACCTTTATGGTCATGCTGGCCCATCGTGTGTATCCAAGCCGCAACTGGGCGAGCAATAATATTGTTCGCGAGGCGGTAGGCTATTGGGTTGCCCGCTCGCTTGGCCAGGATGTTCCTTTCCCTTGATCGTTGATCGAGATATAGTATCTTGTGGCAGGTACCTAGGTGGACCAGGATGAAATTGTGAATCAAGGACAAAGATGCATCGAACTTGTGTACAGTTGAAACAATTACATAGTCGAGATAATGTACTATGAAGTAATATTTTCGAATAAGTATCATAAACGTTATAGCAAATGGTGTATCTCTTTGTCCTCAAATCAAAAAATAAACCTCAAACAACAAAAGACTCGGTCAAGCAGATTGCAAACCCTATTCGCTAGTCACAGCTTTAGGCTGAGGCTCAATGTGCTGTTTGTGTCCCGGCCGAGCGAAAATAGCCCCAAAGAGATTGAACACATTGTTACAGCGAAGCATCATGCAATAGAACAAAGTAATTCCCGTGACCATAATCTCTTCCTGAGCGGCTCTGTTATCTGCCTTGGGCCCACTAAATTCGATTTTGCCAATTTTAGTGACACCCCAGCAATTAGCAGTAAATTTTGCCACGGGCATTTGTTGCTCATCGACACAGACAAAGTCCCAGTTCTTGAACCCTGCATCGCTAGTCCATGTCATTGTGACTGGAGTTTCGGTGTCTGAGAAATTGAGCGAGCGGTGGGTGTATACCGTCCGCCAGCGTTTCTGAGCTAGAAGATGGGCCTTCTGTCCACGCAGTTCGTACTCGGCATTGATGGAGACCAGGTTCAGCTTGCTATTCCCGATGACTTCCTCATCGGGGGCTTTTTTGAAAACCATGGTGGTTCCAAAGCTGAATGGGAAATGGACCGTGTACAAGGGACCTGCATGAGGATTGTTGGCGTCGGAGACCAGAGCCTTCCATTTCTTCCATGTGAAGTCGACTTTGAAAGTGGGGGTTTTGGAGGGAGTCTGGATGTATTGGGGAGTATTGGACGAAGTCATTTTGTTTGAGTCGACCGTCAAAAATGGATCATTAAAGGTAGGAGAATGGATGGGTTGAGAGATATCCCTTGAAGCCATTGTTTCTGTTTAGTAGCAGCTGATAGAATTGAGTAGTCTGTAAGTCAATTAGTATCTCAGAAGGGAAATTTCGACATCTTATATAGCTCAAGTAGAAAAGAAAATATCTCGTGGCCCCGAGGCGCAGGTCTTGGCATCGCCCATGGATGGTTGATCGTCCTCATTGCACTAACCGTTTTGGGTGTCACGTACCGCTCCAGCCAATCAGAGTTGAGTTTCAGGTTAAGGTTTCCGTGATGTCATTCCTTTAGATTTCAGCCCTGGAGCTGAACAAGGCTGAGTCTTTGCTTCGACTATAATATACAACATAGATAGGTCAACAAATAGAAGTTCTCACGACGATAAAAATATGTATACAGCGCTGTGTTGGTAACATGATGGAATCCCTCTCATTTATGGAAAATGCATACATATTCTTGAACCTAGACCACCACACTTGGGAGACATTGGGATTAATAGATCACGACGCAGATATTCCTGGCATACATTGTCCATTGCTATTCAATAGCAAACACACTACTTATTGCTAGTTGAGCTTTGGTGTGGTGAAAACTCCGACATTGAATTGTCACTCTTATCGATACTTGATTGTCATCCCGAGGTCAACAACGATGACGTTGTTGGGCGTCAAGCCTATAAAATTAGGTTCGTTAACCACGCTCCAAATGAGCTTCCAACAACAGCCTGCTAAGAAAAATATCAAACCTTGACACGAAGTTTCGCCAAGTAGCTCTACTACCCACCCCAAGCATGGTGACCCAAGGTGCCAACGCAAACAAGCACCGCTTAAAGGTAACGGCAGGTGCAGATTACAACCCCAAAACGCATCATCAAGTGGTACCTGTAAATGGCGAGACGGTGCGAATTGAGAACGAACACGCTATTGTGAGTCTCTGCGTACGGATTAAAGATTATACAGGTAATATCCCTCCTTTCATCTATTTGGCCATAGAACGGAGCTCATCCTCCAAATAGGCTATCCCGAAAATTCACCATCCACATGTCCATATTTCGACCATCCTCTGCATAAGAGAGACCTATATTCTATATGCTTCTCAATCATTTTCAAAGAGCCGGTGAACGGCAACAATCTCTTCTTTGGCAATGACTTTGATCATCCAATTCGTGACATCCTACCCCCAGGATTCAACGCAGCACTACGGATAGTCAAGTGGACGCTTGACCCTAGCCTAGACGGCGATGTCTACGCTGATGAGCCGTATCTGTACAGCCCGGCATTGGCCTCGTGGGACCAGTTCCGTATTGGAGATAAGATGCAGAAAACAGACGAAGTGCCAACGCTCCATGATGAGATTATTGAAGAAGGCTCTTATAGTGAAGCTGCTGCCGATGTGCGTCGGCAATTTAATATCCCTGATACAGTCGAGGAGCGCAGAAAGCATTTCCAGGATGAGGCAAATAGGAAGGATTTCAACTTTGAGCCTGGGAGGATGTATTCTGTTGATTTTGGCAATCCTTATTTGGCATTTAATGGTGAGTGAAACACAAATTTGCTCTTTTGATTGGAATCGTCGGCTCACTGGTCATGGTAGATTTCTCTGTCCGCCTCCCTGGATTCACTTTGCCCATTATGAAGTATGTGGATGAGAATAACCATGAGTTGCGATACACGCTCAAGGAAGTCTCAACCGGACGGGTGTATCTTGCTGTGGTGTTCTCGGTGGTCCTGTGCGAAACGGAAGACAAGAAGGACGACACCAAGAGCGAGCAACGCGACGAGAGTCTTGGGAAGTTTGATTGGGAGGCGGAGCCATCGTCTGGCGATGTTGAGTGATACATTTTCTGGTTTAACAGAGCCTGTTGTAGTTCTCAAACACCCCTGCACCAATTACAATAGAAATGGGTTTTGACAATCACCGGGCTTGTGCCTCTTTACAGTTAAATGGCTGTCAATGCAAAAACAGTGGATTCATCTCTAGATATCATTTGCAAACTTTTCACTTATATACAAGTTTACTTTTACAGTCTCTTCAAGACATCCTCCAACACCTGCTGAGTGGTGGCCTTTCCACCCATATCGGGGGTAAGGAACTGAGCAGCATCCAGGTTGCCATCAACGGCAGCGTAGATCTTGGCAGCGGCGTTCATCTCGCCCAGGAACTCGAGCATCAGAGCAACACTGCGGATAGTAGCAATGGGGTTGGAGATACCCATGCCCTCAATGTCAGGAGCACTGCCGTGGCAGGGCTCGCCGATAGCGAAGTTATCACCAACGTTAGCACTGGGGACGAGACCCAAGCTGCCAACAAGGGCAGCAGCACCGTCAGAGAGGATGTCACCGTAGAGGTTAGGGGCGACAATGACATCGTAGAACTCGGGCTGGCGGAAGAGCTTGTAGACCATGGAGTCGACGATCTGCTCCTCGACAAAGACGGAGGAGAACTTCTCGGCGGCAAGAGCGCGGCGCGCGGTCTCACGGAAGAGACCGTCAGTCTGCGAGAGCACGTTCGACTTGTGGGTGATGGTGACCATGGGCTGGCTACGGGTAGCAATGCCGGGGGCAGCGTCACGGATGCTCTGACGGCTGAGCGCGATCTCACCGGCGATCTTGGAGATGCGGTATGAGGCGTTCTCGGAGATACGCTTGATGGCCTCGGCAACCTTGCCGTTAGGGGTATCGATGGTGCGCTCTTCCTTCACGTACAGGTCCTCGGTGTTCTCGCGAACGATGACGAGGTCAATGGGCTTGCCATTGCTGTTGCCAGCGGTGGTCTTGACAGGGCGGACGTTGGCGTACAGGTCGAGCTTCTTGCGGAGAGCGACAATGGGTGACGAGTAGCCGGCGACCTTGGTGCTGGGGGAGCTTCGAGTTGGGAGCAATTGTCAGCTGAAATCGCGCGTGCTGAAAGAAGAGACTTCTGACTTACCTGACAGCACCAAAGAGAGCACCGTCACATTCCTTCTTCAGGATATCGACAGTCTTGTCGGGCAGAGCGGTTCCAGTCTTCTGGAAAGTGTCATAGCCGGCCTCAAGGTCGACGAAGCTGAACTTGAGGTTCAGGGACGCGGGGAGGGACTCAAGGATCCGACGGCCGGCCTATATTTCAACAAGAACCATTGAGTCAGTGAATTGACTCGCATATCAGATCTTGAGAGAGCTACCCACCGGGATGACCTCCCGTCCGATACCGTCTCCAGGGATGAGACCTATGATATTCCAGCCATGTCAGTCAATTGCGGAGCCACGAGGTCGCAAGACAAGGGCGACTGTACCAATGCGAAGTGTCCGGGCAGCAGCCATTTCGATAGACTTTTTTGCAGAGTTGCTTTCCTAAAATCGATATTCGCCGTCATCGGAGCTTTTCGTTTTGTATACGGCGTCGGATTATTATTGCTCCAGTACTAACTCCGGGGTCCGGAGAAGCGCCCTTTCTTCAGACCCACTGTACGGAGTACATAGATTTACCAGTTAACCTTTCTAGCACACGGATATGAATTCTATACAGATAATACAACAAAGAAGTGTACTGCTTGGATATCCGTTAGAGTTTCAAATGAAGCGGTCAGCCGGGAACCCATTCCCAGGTTGCGCCTGAGTGTGTATAGTATGCATGTTCGGACTACCTAAACGGGCCATTTCTCGCGAAATTGAGCATGGACAACATTTTCGCACTTCTCTACATCTAGTGTTTGTAACCTCCTCTCACGGCTTCGCTGAACTTTAAAATCTCCATTCTCTTCGTATCGCTCAGTCTTTACAGCCATTCAAGTCTTTCGAGGAGCCATCCACGCTAGGTGCTATAAGCGCTAAACCCAAATGGGTCACTTACCGCGATGTAGATCCACCAGCATCGAGTATACAAAGTCTTCGACAGAGATTGAACCAAATTATCGGAATAGATATTTAAAGCAGTCCAAATTGCACTTCATTTTTTTCATGTTTGTATTTGACTCCGTACTTCACTATCACCCAAAAAATATTATCGAGTCTTTCTTCGAATTCAGGGCTCACTATGGCAATCAGTACTCTCTCCCGTTCGTTGGATTCGCCAATATCAACTATGACGCGGAATGTTGCCATCGCAGAGATTGTGATATATTCCCTCATTCACATTGCACAATTTAGCACAAGATCCATGCAAGAATGGCGTTACTGGCACCACCGTAAGAACAAGAGTATAGGACGATGTGTGTTCTATTCTTGGTGGAGTATGGTCGGTCTTCTGTCACAGAGTAAGTGGAAGACACTCCGATAATTTGAAAATCCGGCTATTGAAATTCTTCATAGTTCGCATAGCAGGCTCGGCGCTGGTGCTTGCCAGTCCACATCCAGAGAAGCCAATGCTCATTGCTGAATCCATTTTGCAAAGCGTGGGCCTTTCACCTCTCTTGTTTGAAGTCAGCTTAGTCTTATTGCGATGGTATGTTGAAGATATCGAAACCCTGGGAGTTATGCTGATGATGTTTCTTCAAAAGTGGGCAATCCGGAGAGACTGGTCCTGGTAATTCGAAATGGACCAAGCGGACCCGGTTTGCTCTGCATTTCTTTCGTTTTCCGGTTTTCATCGCCATCATGCTAGCAGTAGTGGGTGGGTGTATCAGCATGCACGCATTGAGAGAAGCTGGATCCATTGTTCTTGTTGTCACATTTGTCTATGTGTCCGGTCTTGTCGGGTGGCTTGCGGTTAAATCCCGGTTTATTCTTTCCGAGTTGGGTCACCGCGCCGTGCTTTTGACATTTTTGACTCTTCCCTTTTTGCTGGTTCGGATCAGTTATTTCCTATTGTTGGAGTATGGACCCCCCAAATTCAACCCAGCCACTGGTGATGTCGGCATCTTGATTGGAATGGGGCTTCTGGTGGAGGTCATCATTGTTGCCTTGCTTTTGGCGGCACGCGCTGTAGCAGAACCGGCTGGGTTGTCGGTCATTTCTAAGCGCGCCATATGTGATGATTTGGAATCGATGCGGGACTGAGCTAGTTGAACTTTGAACATTTCCGAGACTGGTGGTGAATACCAGATACTGCTTGGAGAATGGCTTTAGGAATTGGCTTTCACTCATGATAGTTTAATCACTTGGTTTGGGATCATAAGACAGTATGATAGTTCTCTGGCTGGGCGGCTGCATAGATCTTCGAAAATTGTCCAAGCCTTTTTAAGATCCAAGAGCTCGTGACTGAATCTGCAACTTCAAATGCCACGCGGAGAGGAAACCCCATTCGGTATGGGCCCATTACTCCCACGCTGTTGTATTCCACTGATTTGCAAATTTGATCTCGGTAATAGGCAACCATGGCTTCATGCTGACCCGGGTAGCCACAAAAGTTCAAAACTTCATGAATGATGACCATATAAGAGTAGTAACCGCAGTAGATCGTTGCATAGCTCGTGTCTGTATATATAAGAACAATCGGATATAGCTTATCCCCGGTTTGGGATGTGGTTTCAGTTGGCGGAGGTACAATTTGAGAAAATTGCTCATACCATATAGCCAGTTTCGTCTGCATCTCCAGGGCCTCGGACAAGAGTTCTGAGATTGTCTGTAAAGCTTCAGCACTGGTGGCATCGACATGCTTCAAACCATAAAGCTTATGCACAAGACTCGGGGCATATGTGAAATATGCAAAAAATTGTTCGATGCTGTTGTGCACTTCTGGGGGCAAGTCCGATGTATATTGCTGTCGCATCTTATCATGCCACGCATCGGAGGCTAGAAAGCACTCTTCACCGGAGAACATTGAGTGCATCACCTGTGCAGATATGAGCGTCTGTTCCAAGTTTCAAGTGATTTTATATTACTTCCTCAGGAGATTAAAGGCAAAGAGTCAAACTCACAATCAATCCTCGGGCAGCTTTTAGTAACGTTACATCGAGCTCGGTACTGTACCTATCTGGTCCTCGAATCCGTACCAGCTGGCTGAGCCCTTTGGCATGCTTCATCCATGACTCTGGGTTTTCAGTATCTGTGAAAAGCTAGATATGATCAGTCACTGACAGACGACTCGTTTCAAACATGCTTTACCTCATACATGCATAGTAATACTACCGCACAAAATATATGAGACGATAAACTTTGTGCAGGTGCTTCCAGCGATTTGCGAAGTCCGCGCAAGGCTTCCCCATAAGCTGACCGGGCATATGACACCATTTGGATATTTTGGGTGGTGCGCCCAAAGTGATGTGCGGTGAAAGATCTTATAGTGGCATCCAATACGTGATTTTGGCCATAAATGGAGGGAAGAAACCCAAACCATCTGATCACAACATGTGTTGGACTGGGAGTGTATGGTTGAGAGAAATCGTCAATGAGAACACACAGATGCTGCACAACATCCACATCCACAGAGATAAGTGAGGACAGATTCTTTTTCTGAGCCATATTCTGACAGATTGACACGGGATCAATGTGAGAATTCGAGTTTCCACTCTGAAGACGTGTTTCGTCCTTTTTATCATTCCTTGGGTTAGGTTGACGCCGATCCCGATACGGCTTCCCGGTAACAAACTTGAAGCTCCGATCATATCCAGGGCAGGGTTGGCCATACTTATCGCATCTGGCACAACCAGGAAGCCCTTGATCACACTGTGGCGCTATCAATATGGCGAGGACTTTTTCACCAGACTTATTGGAAAATCCACTCACTTTGACCCGCCGTTTGACACAGAGCGAGCAGCCATTGCTCCGAGGCACGCCAACCATTATGAATCATAAACCCATACTAATCTGAAGAAGCTAAAGGCGTCAGAGAAGCTTCGTATAGGAAGAATCGGTATCATCACGTGCCTCGGACATGTCCCGATATTCTCTCATTGGCTCAAAGGTACAGCTTGCATGGACTTTCAAAGTTGTATAAAGTCGATAGGTACGGTAGGTAATTGGCCTTTTGCCTTGAACTCACAAGGTGATCTGCATATCATATACCTGGTATGATGGGAAAAAAACCACATCTTCCAGTATATTTTCCAACGTGAATTGTGAGATTTGTACGAAGTATTTCTTGGCCACCTAATCTATTATTATCCCTTTCAAATGATGTCCTGTCAACTCGGTATACCCGACATTGCGATACATGTCTTGACTATCAGTTATATACCTAGCTCATTTAAGTATCCATAGATACTGGAACTACTCTAGATTTCACAAGCAGGACTCAAATTGGAGGAAATCCAGGCTCGGAGAGATTTTGGATGACTCAGGCATCTTCACCCCCTTACTCAAGCTCCACTTGTAGTGTCCAGAGAGAATGTTTCAGACCTCACAAGGGGTTTCAGTACGCCGTGTACTCCGTACAGTAATATTAATTAAACCCCTCAAGGATGGAATCACCTGTCACATAGAGATGAAAGCCCCTGAGATGGGGAGTTCTGTACAATATACGTACGGGGTACAACGTAGGGCATTGGCCTATTGAATACGCTAGGCTTAACTAGCGTATATGTATGTAATAGTTTCTGGATCGGCCCTTCTTCACACCTTGTGTCCTCTTGTCTCATACCAATTCTCTACCCAACTTTGACGCGTTGAACTCAACCCCTCCTGGGAACATGCAGTGGGACCTACCTGTATCCGATTAGACACAACAATCCCGTTTTGACCTGATTTCAGGAGCACCCCTGTGCTCTGCAGACGCGTTTTTCGATTCCCCTCGATTCCATACCCGCCCTTGTTCGACTGACGTACCCTCTGTGAGCGATAATGTCCGATAACAATGCCCATCACCCTGGAGTGCGCAGCTTGTTGGCCAAGTTTGAAGGCCAAAGCCCCGTCGCCTCTCCGCCGCCTCGTGGCCGATCTCCAGCTGCATCAGATTCGTCAGGGACAGGCCGGCAACTGTCCAAGGTCCGGGCGAGCTTTGTGACTGTAGACGGGGCCGTACAGTCGAATCCTGCTTCGCCGTTGAGGAAAACAAGTGGGCGCAGCGATAGTTCTGGAATGTTTGGACCGAAAATCAATTCGGGGGATGCGGAGTCTGGCCGGCAGACTATGATCTCCCCCACCCCGCTCAGTCGCCTAGACCACACGCAGAACTCGACTATGGGACGGATAATGGCCGAGGGTCGACCGGAGGAAGCCACCGAAATCAAGAGTGCACGGAATCAAACCGTCAACGAGGGACCTGCAGCCCACACTGAGACTGAATCTCAGTTGCGAAACATCCAACCAAAGCAGACAGAGGAGCCCATCTCCACGGATTCCAAGTCTACAAGCTCCGACACTCCCTCGCAAAAGTCAAGTTCATCAGGAGCGATCAAGAAGAAGCCTTCTTCCGTAGGATCTGCCCGCAGTGCAGCGAGCAAGTCTGTATCAACTACTGCAGCTTCAGCTGGCACCAAGCCTGCTGCTCACAAGACAGCCTCCAAGCCCACAGCCCGCGAGGTGGCTAAAGAGCGTGTCAGCTCCCTGGCACACAAACCGAGTCGTGTCTCACTGAATCCCAAGACAACAGCACGGCCAACCCGTGGCTCAGCCCTGACACAAGATACTTCAAAGCCACCTACCGCAGGTGCATCCAACAAGCCAGGAACCAAGTCCCCACCGAAGCCTGCCCGTGTACCTGGTTCGATGCAAACTGCTAAGCTAGGAAGCGCAGGGGCTCCGAGTACTCGCACTACTACCGGTACATCAGCCCTCACAAGAAAACCTTCATCCCTCAAAAGCGCAACGGGAGGTCAATCGCGTGCTACTACTCCGAGTACAAGCATTCGCAGACAAGCCTCTCGCCCTTCGTTGCCTTCTCAAGCAGCTCATGATACAACCACTAAGCCTGTCAATGAGGGTTTCCTTGCGAGAATGATGCGGCCTACTGCTAGCTCTGCGAACAAGTCCCACCCCCAGGAAAAGACTGATGCAAAGCCTGTTACCAAGACAACATCTCTTTCCAAGGCCCCCAGGCCATCAACTGGAAGGGTGCCAGACCGTGGCGTCCCCCATGCGAAGCCTAAGAGCACCGCTCTACGACCTCAAACTCAGAAATCTCAGGGTCTGAACAAGGACCCTGTGCCACAGAAAGACGAACATAAGGCCTCCCAAAAGAGACAGGAAAGTGAGAAGGAGAACATCGTGAAGCCTATCACAGCCAGCCCCAAGGAGCCTGAAACAGTGGAACCTACCCCGGTTGCGGCTGCTAGACAGCCCGAAGCTGCTCCTAAGCCAGTCAAGGAGATCGCCTGCCCTGCCCAGGCTGAGGAGCCTACTCAAGAAGTTGCCATTGCATCTGTTGAGCCAATCGAGAAGTCGATTGAAGCGCCTGAGCCAGTCATCGAGGAGACATCGGCTGAAAGCTCTGACCTCGTCCCAATCGAAGATGCTACGGAGGTACCGGTTAAGACCGTTGATTCCAACGGACCCAAGGCCGAGGCTGAGGTGGATGCACCTGTCGAGGCCCTCATTGAGACCATCGCTGAGGATGTTGAGGAGAACGCTGCTGAAACCACCGCCACAAGTGAAGAGACTGCCGCAGAGCCCGTGGCAATCCCAACGGCTGGCGATCAAGTGAACGTCGATGAGAAGCAAGAGACGTTCAAGTCCAAACCAGAGGTGCTCGAGAGTCCGGAATCAGCAGAGGTCCAGGCCGAGGCTGAGAAGGAAGACGATGTGCCTGTGAAGGAGACTGTTGTGCCTGAGATTTCGGCAGAGGCCACAGGGGAGATTTCCACTGAGGCCAAGTCCACTGAGCCTGCTCCTGATGCGCAGCCCGCAACTGAGACTGAGGCTGAGTCACGCAGCGTCGCCATCGACATTGCCACTTTGTCACTACACTAGGCGCTCTATATCAGAACTACACCATGTTTATCTGAAATGGATTTCGCTGGCCCATCTCCGCTTCTGGTAAATTTTGGAATAACCTTTGAATCTTCTCTGATCATAGTCTTCCCATTTTCTTCTATCTCACCCATCGTGAGACCCTTTCCATTCATCGAGGCTTGCCCCCGACTTTTTTACCATCCATTCTTCCGTGTCTCTTTCCTACTATGCTAGCATTTTAAATCTCTCAGTGTTTTGGGATGTCTGATTATTCTTTCTTCTATCTCTTGCATACTCTGTACCAATTTCTTGAGCATATTATTCTTAGCGCTTTGGGGCATTATCGAATTTAGCATCTTTTTTCATCAATATAGCGGGGCTCAGAGCATTCATACTACCATTTATTGGGTTTTCATATAGTAAGCACTTCATTTTCTCATCAAATTGAGACACTAAAAATATTCCAAGGTTCTTGTCGGATTTCCATGCTCACAGTACTGCCCAGCAGCCGGCCTAGTTATAACAAGCACTCGAGGTGGCCATGACCAGCAAAGAACTCTAAGAAAGAAAGATGCAAAATCTCAAACTCCCACCCAAAAAGGAGGCTCAAAGTTTCCTCTCAAGCTTCTTCAGGAACCTGTTCATACCGCCTTCCAATCGCTCTGCTCTATCCTCCAATTTCCTAGGCCGCTGTCCAGGATTCTTCATAGCCTTTTGTGCATATTTCTGATAGTGGGAGCCAGCCTCCGCTTCAGTGGGTCTGTACAACTGGCTATGGATATCATATTCAGAGCCAGAACGCTGGTGTTGCTGCGGCTGCTGCTGGGCCTGGGTCTTATCATAGGAGTAGTTCGAGAACCCGCCTACCGGCACCGCCGCTCCAGACTGATACTGAGGCGGCGACTGGGCCTGGGCAGTCCCATAGACCTGCTGGTCATACAGATGGGCATTTGGATCCTGTGGCGGCGGCGCGAAGGACATTGAACCTTGCTGGCTTGCACTGGCGTACTGTTGAGCTCCCTGTCCGCCGATGAAGTGGTATGAAGGGACAGGCGCTCCAGGGCTGTGAAGCGAAGATCGAGCAGTGGGGAAAGTGTTTGAATGCTGCAGTCCCACACTAGGTGGAGGGGAGGCGAAGGCTGGCGGTGCCGAGACCGGAGGGCCTGCGTATTGCAAACCTGGGGTTGAGGGGGGTGGGGATGCGAATCCGCCCACGCCTGGTACAGGCCCCATCATTTGGTTCGGTGGCGTATATGGAATGCCGCTGTCTGCTGCCACTGCGGCTGCAAGGCCGGTGCCGTTCATCCCGTCCTCTGGCGGCGGGGTCTTCTCACGGTATTGGATTGGCTCCGGGGCGGCTGGAGCAGCCGGATTGTATGGGAGCGGGGCGAAGCTAGCTTGGTCTTTCTTTTCCTCGGCGGGAGTAGACCCAGCGCTTAATCTTTGGTCAGCCGGAGGTCCGCTTGGAGGAGGTGGGGGGAAGCTGCTGGTTGGTGGAGGCGCCTGTTGTGCTGGTGCCGCTGTGGTTGTGGGCTCGGATCGTGAGTTGCGTGTTTGACCGTTCTGGTAGGCCGGATCGGAGACTGCAACAGTTTCGAGTTGCTGGACTACAGAGCTCATGGTGTCCTGTGGTTGCGGAGCTGGTTCTCGGTCTGTCTCAACCTGGGCATTGGACAGAAGCCGGACGACAGTGTCCAGAAAGTCGTTTGCATCTTCTTGAGTCCAGAAGTAGATATCCAATGTATGCAGGCGAGCGAAATCGCGTAATTCCTTTGGGTCATCTCGTGGGTCGCCGCTAGGCAGACGCCACTCATGTTGATGGGCATCATTTGCATGTTGCTGCTGGGGCGAGGTTGTGTGTGCATCAACTGTTAATGTACAAAGTGTCGGGAACTGAGCGGAGTGCCGTATGTGGACATTGTTCAAGCCTCCACAGAATGCATCCTGCTCTGGAGATCCAGGATTGTTGGCAATTTCTATACGAGCTTTGTTCTGAAAGGCGTCATGATAAACATAAACATAGGAGCCTTTATCAAAACGGTGGTGATATGGTAAAGGTCTTCGGGTTGGCTCTGTGAAGTAGTAGTGGATATCTGCAAAACTAGTCTGGCTGTTAGACGCAATTCAAGGACTGCTTGCCATCGACCTGCGGGGAAATCAGCTCAACTCACACAGTCACAAGTCGCTCTTCACCCGCTGATGGTGGCATTGTTGACAATTCGAAGTACCGAATGGAAGTATACAACGATGGCAGCAAGTAGAGGGGAAAAACAAAAAGAACAACGTACGTTTATTATTTATACCTTAGACTGAGGGGTATTCAACCTGTGAAACGCCTACATCAACCGCCATGCAAGCTGGGCGCTTAGAAGATGTATGAATGTGATGTGATAGGACGGTACTAGTACATTGTCATCACACATATCCGCTATAGGTGAGACAGTACCCGGTACCTGGACCTGACCGCGACCCGGAAATATTATTTATCCGAAAATTTCCATCCTCATCGCATCTTCAGGCGCTACAACACTTGCCGTGTCTTTGCTTCCCCAGACAATTGCACTCCATTGTGGTTCTCTCGGTCTTCCCTTTCGTGTATCTGGGATCCCCCGTCATTCTTCGTCTTCCGCAATCAATCGAACCCACCACTTCCTTTCTTCTCCGAACGGCCGTCGGTAGAGCTTAATTGCTGCCGTCGCGAAATCACGATGTCTCTCGTCAACCTTTCTGCCGTCTGCTCCCACTTGAACAATGCCACCAAGGCCCGTCTCGCTCTCACTTCCATCCCTAACAGCAACCTCCACCTGAAGCTCTCCCTCGCCCTCCAAAATTCAGGCTACATCTCCTCCGTGGTCCGCGGAGGTCCGACTCCTCCTCCAGCCCATAGCATCCTCGGCTACCCTGCGGCCAATGATGAAGTCGAAGGCATTGAGCCAATAACGCGCGATAATGTTGCATCAAGGCGGCTGTGGCTGGGCCTGAAGTACTGGCAGAACGAGTCGGTCCTGGGCAAAATCAAGATGGTCAGCAAGCCCACCCGACGGGTCAACATTGATGTGGAGGGACTGCGCCGAGTTGTTCGTGGTGAGGCATCCGGGTTTGTGGCCGGACTTCGCTCGCCGGGTGAGAGTCTGTACCTCTCTACGGACCGAGGGATTCTGGAAGCTCGCGAGTGTGTTGAGAAAAAGCTTGGTGGGCTGGTCTTGTGCCGTGTGCTATAAGTCTGCGATTGTCCTAACGGCTCGTCCTTGATTTGGGGGAGCTAATTACCGGGGAAATTTGTTTCTCTTCTTGCATTTACTTTGGAGTTTGTTGGTTAGTCGCAGCGCTTTCTCTTTCGGAGATTAGTCTTTTTGTGACTGTTGGGATAATACCTGGGTCAAGGATATGTATATTAGATGTCTGCGTATCTCGCATTCCGTGTGCTCTGCTAGTGATTTTGCAGCTGTCCTCAATGTGACACAGTGTATAGATTATGACTTGAAATATGTCCGTACTTCCCTTCTATAGAGGTTATTACTACAGTATAGTAGTAAAGCCCCCTCTTGAGAGCCTGATTTTTATTTGTATGGATATCATATTTCTACTCGGCCTAAGTGCTAGGGGATGGTTGGGATGTAGGTGAATAGTATTGCGAATGGCCATGGCCAGATCATACTTGACAAGTTAAGATAGTCAATCGCTTATACGGTATATGTTCTGGACGGTGTAATCTAACAATGTAATATATGTGACTAGAAAACATCTACAAACATAAAAACCCCCATGATCCACCCCGTAGCCGCGCTGTGTCGTCTTGTTTGACCCCCCCCTCTATCTTTGGGACCATACTTTACGCCCTCTAACTTCCTTCTTCTTGCATTGTTCTGTTTACCCTACAAGATCACCTTGCCATCTCGTGAAGTCTTTGTTCCCAAGATCCATCCAGTGATCGTCGGGCATACAACTACCAACCATGGCTAAACCTCAAAACGTGAAACGCGCGAGAGCTAACACCATTGACGATGTCCACGCCAACACGACAGTTTCGTCACCAGGAGAAATTTGCCAGCGTGTCCAGCTCTCTCGATCCAGAGACTGTTGATGACATTCTCACGCGAGCAGCGCAGATCCATCCCGACGTAATGAACATGGTGGACGACGCTATTCGCGTCATTCGGGAGAAAGAGCGAAATCCATGAGGTGCAAAAGCAGTCTCAGTCTGCTACTGCTCTTGTCGGTGGGATGCAAGGAATCATTGATTCTTTGACAGATGAGGAAGTTCGAGCAATCAGAGAGGATGAGTCGAGTTCAAAATCGTTGTGGCCAAAGTTGAAGGAATTGGAAGACCTGGCCGAGGAGTATTGTATTTATCCTGGACTGGGAGAAGTGCTGGATCTATTGGAGCCTGCTCACTGTGAAGGTAAAGAACAAGAGTAAGATGGGGACGAACATGAAGAGCAATCGGAGGGAGGACTTTGAACGATGTTCAACAAGCACAACAATAAGAGGTCGTCGTTGAGATTGTACTAGGTCGTGGTTTAGGCATTAAGAATAAAAGCCAACTTCAAATCTGAATGAGTGAGAAGAAGGTCTGACCATTCGAATGGCCTCTCTCTGGCATCATTTCCAATATCACTTGTGGTCCTCCTCCGGGGTGTTGCGGTAACTTTGATGTCGTTATGTCGTTGTAGTGTCACACAGTTGTGTCTATCCAGTCCAAGTCTCCCCCACATCATAGTCTTCTCATATCCTCACACTCAATCAACCTCCACAATGACCGATACAGCGAAGAAAGTCCTTATATCTGGTGGCACGGGATTTGTAGGCTCGGCCATAGTGCGGGCTCTTGCAGAAAAACACCCAGACTTTGTCATCGTCGTCATCGATTCAAGGCCCCCACGACCTGAGCATGTCCTACCAGAGAGAACTTCATACATGCAAGTGGATATTACTTCGACTAAAGCATTGAGCAAATTATTCGAGGCTGTGAAGCCAGATGTTGTTGTCCATACTGCTGGAGTCGTCCCAAATCTGGCCGAACGGTTCGGTCGCCGACTTGAACAGGAGGTATGGAAGATCAACTTTGAAGGCACACGGAATATGCTGGATGCATCCAAGCTCAGTGGGGTTGAGGTGTTCGTATATACGAGCAGTTGCTGCGTGGTGATCGACGATACGGGTACCACTCACCCTAATATCAATGAAGAATGGCCCTCGGCATTTAGGTCAACCATTTATGGAGAGTCCAAGGTTAGAATTGCTGATCCCCATCAGCAATATTATTAACATCGGTAGCGAATGAGTTACTAACACGCTTCGGTATGGTACCTAGGCTGCTGCAGAAACACTCGTGCTCAAGACCTCGAGCAGCAAAATGGTGACATGTGCCCTGCGGCCATCGGTGCTTTGCGGACCAGGAGACTATCAGCTAGTACCAGCTATTCACGCATGCATCGCCAAATATGAAACCCCTTTTTTGATAGGGAATGGCTTTAACTTGTGGGATATCACCCACGTCGACAATGCAGCCGATGCTCACGTCCTGGCCATAGAGAATCTGCTATCGTCCCGCACAGCTGCAGGCGAGGCTTTTTTCATTCAAAATAACGAGCCTATTGTCTTCCGTGATTTTTGTCTGGCAATCTGGGCGCATTTTGGGCATGTCCCACCTTTTGAAATGCATATTCCGAAGAGTCTAGCTTACTTCGCCGGGCTGGCGTGTGAAACTGTCACCTGGTTAATGGGAACAACCACAACCTTGAGCCGTGGAAGTGTACAAGACGCATGCGCTATTAGATATGCCAGTGGCAACAAGGCTAAGGAGATTCTGGGGTACGAGGCACGCATTGGTATCGAAGAAGCCATTCATTTGAGCTGCGAGGTAAGCAGATGTCACAAATGCAACTCTCTTTAATTCTATACTTACCAACGCAATCTAGGATTATGCCTCTCGTCTCGGCATAAAACTGCCCGTCGTCAATAGCGGAAACCGGCAAAAAAAACCATAAAATGACACTTTGATGCTTCCTGGCAAATGCCTAGGGTGAATGATACCCCGGAAATACAACTGGTTATGATTTTCTGGGGTTTGCGAGGCCCTCTCTAGTTTGACTGATTTTATCATACCTCCTATGGCTATCCAGAGTACGGTCGATGATAATTCTGCTAGGCAACCTTGACCCTGAAAGCATAGGCATTGGGCTTCATGTTGGGTTGCAAGGGTAGATCTTATGCCATCAAAACAGTCGAACTCTCCACATTCACAAACTTTGATATTGAATTTCCTCTTTGTTTCACCCGAACCTCCGAAGGATCCCCAGAAGAGAGACATGGTCCATGCGGCTTATTGCATTGGGCCCCAAGAAGCCTAAGTGCCCAACACGGATTAACTACGCGCGTCACGGAAGTTGCATGTTGCACCTACCTCACCTCATCTTTGCATTTCTTCTAGGGCTTTCGGGGGTGCAGATCGCCTTTTCTATCTGCACATTTGGGTATCCATAGGTCAATGATGTCCTAGGTCAGACCCCCCTGTCCTTGCATTTTGTACCCAACACCAGCTTTGCTGCCCGAGGCTCTCCTCCAATACAAGTATCAAACCAGAATGAAGATGATGCGGCACCCAGCGTGCTGGTGATTTGCCCCTTGTGAAGATCGAGGATTTGATTAGAATATTTGCCATGCCATCGGAGTCATGCTATGCACTTCCAGAGGCGTCTGGCGGCGCCTCTGCTGCCAACGAGCTTTGCACACCGGTTCTATTCTCGATCGATCGAGATCTTCAGCGTAAACGGCATGGACGGTCTATATCCTGTTACGCAATTGGTTTTCTTGGAATCAAGAATGTTCAGGCAACACTGCCCTCGTCTCCATAGATTTCATTCCACCAACGCCACTGGCGTAAAGTCCTCTAGCGCGGCTCTCAATCCAGTTACTTTGCCGTTGCAGAAACCTAGGGCTCCGATCCACTTGGTCAGGCACACTTCACCTCGTCCAACCCGGGTAGAGTGACTTTCCAGAAAGGACTATAATACCTGCCCTTTGCTCGGATTTTCACAATTCATTCAATAACGCACTTAATAGATATATTAGTTCCCTCGTCGCTTTAAATCTTCTTTTCAATTCTTATATAAGGCACACTACTTCCCGTTGGACTTTCTTCATGCTTCCTATTCTTCCTCATCCACTGGCGGCTGGATCAGTCTATCCGTTCTCTTTGCCAGCCAGTCTCAGTTCTTGTGCAAGCTCTATCAACTCCAAAGTTGATACTCGGTCTCGCCATAGGTCAGCAAAATCGGCATCGCCATTCCCTCCTCTATTTCCGTGCCAAAAATCTGGGAATCCAAAACTCATGTTCCGTCGCAGCAGCACCATGGCCCAGCACCCTATGTATGCAGCTCCAGCAATCTCTCCAGTGGTCTATCAAAGGTATTGTCTGGTCATCGTTCACTTCACTACAAACTCCCTCCAAACCATCATCGACAACGCTCGCTTTTGTTCCTTTTACTAAACGGTAAAAGGTCACAATCTACCCCCCACGGATATGGCTACAGAGACGATCGTCAAGGGCCTTTCGGTTTAATTGATTCTAACCATCAGACCCATTACCGCGGAGCTCCAGTCCCTCTGGACAGCCACAGCCACATGATGGGCCCACCCACACCAGCCTCGGGCCGTTTATCCTACCCTCCAGCCGGACAGGCTCATCCACCACCTGGGAGTTATGAATGGAACCAGCCGCACCACTTGCCTCGAGAAACCCTGGGACGTGATCCTGGAACAATGAACCCCCCGGAGAGCCCAGAATATGTCATAGAAGGAAACAGCCAGCGATCTGCCGGGAGATCCAGAGGAAGCCCACACTATCATGCCCAGAGACGGACATCCAACCGGGATGAATTTGATGGCCCGCATCAGTTTTTGGAGCCACCTTCTCCACAAGCTATGGCAGCCCAGGATAAAGAGCTTCCCCAGCTGCCTACTAACCTCGATGCCGGCGAGCAAGACAGCATCCTCCACAAGGTCAACGAGCGACTGTCCCAGTGCGCCTATGACTTCATCGCAAAGTACCAGTTCCGTGTTCCTATCGAACAGGACAAAAGACCCGTCAAAGTCCCCTCGGACCGCGAGTGGACTGAATGGGTGCACCTCTTGAAGCGGCTGGCTACCACACGCCGCATCCCAGCTCATCTCTTGTACAACCGCCAAATTAAACAGCTCATCACTGTCCTGGAGAACTCCTTGGAGATGCGCCATGCTGCCAAGCACCAGTCTAGGCCAGTCAAGGATGATCGCAACGTGCTGCAGCTCATCTCGGCGGGTACTCAGGTCGCGAAGATCCTTAGGGATTCTAGCGCCATGCAGTTTCTCGATTGTCTTTATGTTGACACTGAGAAGTTGATCGTGGAGCGACGTAGCCGTCGTGTAAGATTCGCAAACCCTTGAATCCACCGGATGGAGAATGGCCCTTTCTAAAGCCACATGCATGGATGCCGCTGTCATGTTTCCGTTTGTCTTCTCATGGAAGCTCCTTGGATTGTCCAGGCTCTTTTTTCCCCTGCTTTCTTCTTCTGGTTTTTCTTTGTTCTTACGATTCCCTTGAAATACCCCACTGTCAAGTTCGGACCCCGTGGAGGAAAGATACCCTGGAGGCTCAGTGATTTCCAGGACAAAAGCCCACGCACCTACGTACCCAGGCCAGGTGAAGGGATGATTGAAACCAATCCCCAGTCAGGGTGGCAGGAAAATAATCGTCCGGCTCCCGCACATCTCCTCCGGGTCTATGTGTTAGCGGTACGAAAGGACTCAATACTAGGGCGGCGGTTTTGCTGGTTTTCTTGGTTTGATTCCTATTTTTATTCTGGCGTTCAGGATGGTTTGTCTTGATATGTTTACCACGCTTCTTACGTTTTACCTTGTGCTACACGACTATGTCATGCTTTCGGTTTATTGTTGTATGCAGCACGAGATTATGTCTGTGATTTATGTTATGTCTCTAATTTGACTTGCTTGGGTGGTCCACTTCTGATTTTCCCTCTGCTAATTCCATACCCTCCAGGTTTTAGGCTGCATTTCCTCAGATGTCCAGTATAGTCTTGTGGCTCTACTTCAGGTCAATTTACATCAACTTGAACTTTTTGAAAGGATGCCAAAAAAAACAATTATGATATCAAGACATGGAGAAAAGGGGCAAAAGAGCAAAAAGACAAAAAAATAGTTTCCCTGGGAATCGAACCCAGAACCTTTCCGGAACATCTGCTAGTCGCATTTGTTAACGGAAAATCATAACCGCTAGACCAGGAAACTGTTCAGCCACTTGGACCAATTGATGGAAGAGTGAGCCATATTTGGCATTATAAAGTTGATTATCAAAGTTGTACTATATTTCATGTCGAGAACTTGAACTAGCATTTTATCTCGAGACTGATAGATAGTAAGGCATTGGTAGGTTAAATATAGTATTAGTAGTCGACCAGTTGATGCATAGGAAGAGTTGGAGGTATATATCGTAATATAAAATTGCTGTTCATCTCATCTATATATTCTGAACATGTGTACAAGTCTATTTGATTCGAACAGTCACCTGAATCATTTATTTACTAATTTCCACTCTATGTAGTGTGATATGCCAAAAACAGAATTAATCCTAGTCCTTTCCATCAGAATTGACGACTACCCTCTGTGCCTCCAAGCTACTGCTGTCCGTCTCCTCCTCTACCTCGAGCGTGTCTGAAACATTCCAATTTCCAAACACTGCGAGAAGGGTGAATGGAATGGTAAAGCCCCATAGTGCAAAGCCCAGTATCATCTGGTTCAGGTTGGCCCAGTGAGTTGCACCGACGGCGTAGGCAATCGTACTGCCGATGGACTCCCACGATCTTAGGATTCCGGTTGTTCTCGCGATATCGCCGTCCGCCTGCGCTCCCTTGATCTCGGCCATCAACCAATAGATATACGTCTGCAGCACCTCATAGAAGAACCGGAAGAATATATAGACAGTGAAAGCCGAGTTGAAGAATGGACCATCGCCCAAGTCAAAGGCGGGTGGTTCGGCCATGCGGGAGAGTTTCGTCTCGGTGATGGCGTTCCATGTCCAAGCAGCTGTGATAAAGACAAGGACAAAGATGTACACAATTTTAGATCTCGTTCCTCGGGACAAAAACTTCAGATCGAGAAACAAGCCCGTCACCACGTTGGCGGTGGCGCCGACCACGGCAGTTAGGAATGACGCAAGGGCCCTAGAGCGGACGGTGAAATAAGCTAATTTTCCTGTCAGCTACGCCATTCATGATTGGTGAAAAAGGATTGGAGATGCCATACTCGTCAAATAATTCCCCTGATAAGTCACACCAAACTGTCCTGCGAGGAAGACCGGGATGAGTAGCAGCATGTACTTATTCGAAAGTTGCCTCCAGATAGCGCGGGCCTCAATAGCAAGACTCGTTTTCTTCATATAAGGGATCTTGGTGCCGTTACTCCTGATGACATCCTGTGGCTGGGACAACAGCAAGGCAAATGGAGCCCCGAGGGATGAGATGGCAACAAGCCCCAAGTATGTTGTGTAGGTGACCTTGCCGACGTGCGCAGTGTTGACATTGAGAGCGAGAGATATAGCACCACCAACAAGTGGCCCCATCTGCCGAATACTCATCCAGATTGCAACGTAGCTAAACACAACGGTCAGCCAAATGACTAGATGGTTCAGACTCTCAACCTACCGTCCTCTTTTTTCCTCCTCCGGATATCCAACTGCAATGGCAGCTTCACTAGCCCATAACAACGAGGCACCAATTCCACAAAGGGCAGCTCCGAGTAGGAGAAACCACTCGTTGCCATAACGATTGTTGCAGTATAGACCAGCCGCATAAGGAGTGTAGAATGCAGCTCCGATGAACAAGGTCCATTTCGCAGTGATCTTATTGGTAACTCCACCAGCAAGGAAGCAGCCTACTGACATAAGTCCGTATGTCAAGGCATTGGCGGCATTATTCAGGTAAGGCTGCACAGTATGTTAGCGATAGTTGCGCCGATTACCAACATTTATATTACTTGCCTTGGCATTGCCTCCAGCTCCAAGGTTATTAAGAGCTGTCCATATACCTGGTTCACAGAATGCGACTAGTCCAACAATGATAATCTGGAGTAGACACGACCGGTAGAACCGGGCCAGACGATCAAAAACCATGATGGATGTGGGACGTTTCTATATGAAATATAGCAGCGGAGGGAGTCACTATTAGTACTCCATGGCGATGGGCCCTCAGGTCGCATCTTTTTTTGAAGCAAGAAAAGACAGCACGTCAGGATCCATCATGATCGCGATATCGTGATTTTATCTCTCGGCCGTAGAGCCCCACGGCAGCTGAGGGCATAACTGGTGCTAGCTTGTATACTGGAGACAGTCGGAGAACCTTTGAGTTATAGTCAAATCGATAAGGGGAATCCTGGACGGAAATCTTCAACATCCCGAGGATAACAATGGTGCAAAGTGAGCCATTGGTCCCTAAAAGCACGTAATCTGAGGGGGGCACGCCCTCATGGCTGGGCACGGCCCCGGGGTAAAAAGACTTGTTTGCGAGACATTTTCTGAACATAAATATGCCAGGGAAATGAGGTGCAAGTCCGCTTAAGGAGCCAATCAATGGATGTGATATGCATTCTGAGCTACTATAAGTCACTACGGACTAGAACGGGTCTATCAAACGTGATAACTAGGATATAAACACTTATTCTTTTTCGTAGTTGACCAAATTGTCACTGTGTTGACGAATCTGGATCAATTCAGAAGTCCCGCTAATTTACAATATTAATGTACACTTAGGTTCATCTAGGAACCTTCTCGAAATCAAAAACTAGCCATCTCAATCCAACTGGCCACAAATGCCAGTCGGCGTCCTCGATCCGCAGCCATACGGCGCGAGAACTCCTCAAAGTTGAGTTTCGCACCGTTACCACGTTCCTTATTTTCACGTTCTACCTGGTCCAAATAGACCCACCGAGCTAGAGTCCGGGACGAAGGTCGGCGTGGGGGAGGGGCTTGACGAGGCTGGTCATTGACCCGGTGAGGGGGTGGGAGTGGTTGCATAGGAGAAGGAGGAAGCTTAGGGGCTGTGGCTTCGGCTTCTGGGGATGAATGGGGAGAAGACGGCGCGGGAAGAGAGGTGATCCCGGGCTGGAGTCGGAGTTGAGCAGGGAGACCTGAGGTTGTGCTTGTGACTGGGGATTCCTCGGGGTCGGAGTCTGATTCATCGATGAGTACTGGTGTCATCTCTGCATGGGGGCGATGTTGTGGGAGTGTTGGATCGTAGTAAAGTGTGTCGTCTTCAACAGTGCGACTTGATGGTCCCGCATCGGATTCTTGGGAGGCAATGATGTCGTCGTCATAATCAGATGAGGCGGCGGATGCCATGTCGGAATCCCCAAAGGACTGTGTCTGCCCAAATCCAGCATCGCATTCGGGGTCGGCAAGATGAGTTGGCCGCACATCGTCTTCATCGTCATCTTCATGTTCGTCTTCATTACTATCATCATCTGAGGCGGTGGGCTCAAGCACTGGTTCGGCGTTGGCAGGTGCTAGGACTGGGCTTTGAATTGCGTAGCCAGCGCGCTGTAATAGATCATCAAGTGGCCGGTTATTGATAGTCTTCTCAAGCTCTTCCTCAGCTGGAGCATTTCCAGGCGGGGTACGTTTTGAAGGATCCTCCTTCCCCGCGAGTTCAATCTCGCGGGCCCAGACCTTGCGCTCAGCTCGTGTGCGATAGACTTCCATCAGAAGGTCCTCCTTTGGCTTGAACAGAATATCTAGAAGCTCATTGAATCCCTGTTGTGTGACCTGATACAAGATTTCTTTGCCGACGTCCTTTTCGACCTCGGGAATTTCGAAGCCACCCCATCGCTCGCCAACAGGGATACTCCGTGACGAAGTTGATGGGTTAGATCGAATGTCGTACTCGTCGTCATTGAGATCATCCTGGAATCGCACCTTGGACGAGGACCGCGAACGGAAAGAGGGTGGGCGCGATTCGGATTCATCTAGGTCTTCATCGCTGGAGCCATCGATGGCTGGATCCCTTTCGTACCCCTCAGGAACAGTGGCGCCATCTTCTTCGTCTGTATAAAACGCTCGGCGCCTCCAACGTTCGTCAATTCCACGCTGACGAGCGTCAAACACGCGTCTCTGATCATCTTCGCGCATTCTCTGATAAACTGCATCCGCGACGCGAGCCCGATCAATCGGGTCGGTGATTTCTCGAGCGGGAATATAGGTCCCAAGGGCTTCGATGATATCTTCTTCGAGAATGTGTTCAGTTGGAGGCCAGGTACCACTGGCCACCGATGAGCTAGATTGGTCCGATCCACTGGTCTCGCTGGCGCCATCTTCATGTTCTTCGTTGTCGTCATTCCGGTAACCCTCTATGATATCCGATGGACGCAGAGTAGGAGGAGTCTCAGTAGATGCTAGGCGGAGTGTGGATGGGAACAATGGTCTCATCCGACCAAACTGTGTTCTGACAGCAGCGTCGCCCACAACCAAATGTCGATCACCAGTGTCATCTCCGTCCTGTCGCAAGATGCCTCCATTGTCGACGACCTCCATGTCACCCTCAGAATTCATGCGTTTGCCTTCGCCTGTACGAGAACGTTCGCCTGCAGGGATATTGCCAGGGAATGCAGAGCTGATAGGCTGGCTACCGAGCACCACATCACGAGCTCCACCCTCGAAGAAGTCATCCTCCATGCCCGCGACAATATCCCTTGTAAGCTCCCGGCTAAGCGCATAGTAAGCCCTGAAAACCCGAAGGAAGTCCTTGCGTTCGACGAAGCCATCTCCGTCGATATCATAGCCACGGAATACACGTCGCAGCCTTTCGTCATTGCTTTTATTGTTGAGACTAGCTAAACCCTTCAGGAATTCTTCAAACCCGATAAGATTATCGCCATTGGTGTCATAGAATGCGAACATTCGGTCGTAAATGAGACTGGGAGGCGGTGGCCGAATAGAAGTATTAGGTACAAAGCATCGGTCGAATGTTTTGCGATCGATGGCCATGTGCAACTTGTTCGGGTCGTTCACCCACTCATGATTGGCCAAACAGCGGAACTGATCCCAGAGTGCATCAAGCTCTGTATTTTCGAAACTGCACTCTTTCATAAGACGTTTGGCAAGAGGTCGTGGAAGGCTACGGGGAAGCATGGAAGGCTTCCCAGGATACCATACAGGTTGCGATTGACGAGGGTTTCCTAAGAACGGGGCTGGAATCCGCACTTTATAGAATAGATGTGTCTTGATGTGGACTTGCATTGCCTCGCACGTCTCACACAGATCATAGTCGATGCAATTGGCGCATCGGTATCTGATACCCTGAATTGGCAGGGCACCGCAGCTGTTGCAAGTAACTCCACGATGGATATAGCCGTCTCTCCGCGCCTGATCCTCAGCGATGTGGTAAAGTAGGTTGAGCAAATTCTGGCCTTCCCTATTGGAAGGATCGTTGTTTCCATCACGCCACGAGAAGACACTTTGGTCATCCACCACCGTCTCACCGCCGTCAGGGTTTTGTTGAGGCGCAGACACGTCTGGAAATGTAGAGGTTGAAAGAGTGACACGTTCACCATTCTGTCGTCGCCGGCGCAGCTCCTCTCCATAATTTACATCTCCGTTGAAGCGGACCAAAGCCCTTTCAATACCAGCTCTGGAGATACCGCGGCGTTGAAGTTGCTCTGTCAAGTATGTTCTTTCCGGGGTGTCCTCTGGGAGAATATGTGCAGATGGGAAATCGAGGGCAAGGAAGGATTCAAGAAACGTATCCTCCATCATCTCGCGCATGCGCTCTGCATGAGCAGGCGGGACACCGACTTCTTCCATCAGCTGGTCGCGTGTTGCTAGCAGTGATGGAAGAAGGCCACTCTCCACGCGGCGTCCATCCTCTGTCTCTATGCGAAATGTCCCATATACACCATTCTGACGCTCTAGTTGTTCGAGATGGGTAATGGCTCGATAAGACGGGGTATCAGCGATTCCAAGCTCTTCAGCTTCGGTTGCTCTTGTACGGCGCACAGCATTTCGACGCCGGAGCGAAGTTGATGATGACTGGGAAAGGACATTATTGTGGACATAGAGAATTGCATACGCGGCAGCGACACCGGTAAAGAGGTAGAGAATAGGTCGATATCGTGCTAGTGAAACTGGCCCTGGGCGCGAGTCGGACATGACGGAGGTTTGGCGGAAGTTGAGCTAGCGGGAGCTGCACAAAAATGTTAGGAACATAAGGTGGTAGCTCATTCTGATCGCAGTTGGTTAAGCAGATCAAGTCAAGCCCTCAAAGTGTCAATCAAGACACTCAATTAATCGATGAACAGTGAGTCAACTGGAAAACATTTGTAAGGTTGAAACGTTGCTGACAAGACCCGGGCACCTGCACATGTATTGGCTTAGTAAGCTATACTTAGCCTGCCCGGGCCAGCCCTGGGACAGAGCCCCACAGCATACCTACCACGTACGAAGCTATAAGAGGCGACAAAGTTTTTGAGATGCAGACGACAGAGCGGTGATATTCTTCAATCCTTGTAGATAAATCAGCGGGTGGCATTTTATGCATACAACTTTGGCTGATCCGTGTCTGAGAAACCTACATGAACATTCTGTTCTTGATTGGATTTTGCAATATAAACAAAACTTCCTTTATACCCTGTATATATTTGATGGACTATTTGATATATTTATGGAATAAAAATAGACAAATTCAAGTTCAACCCCGATGCTAGATAGACCATAGTAATTTTCCATGCAAGTTTGTCGCTTTTCAAGAAAATGCAAATCTGTATCTTTTTGGTGTGTAGAGATTCAGCTTATAAATCATCGGTTGAGTTTGCTTTCACGGATGAAACAGCTGCTCAGCAAAGCAAAGAAGACCACACAAACCATGAAAGCGAATCCCTTGTTTGTAGACCAGCCATAAGAGTCCCGGACAATCCTGGCAGTTGCTGGGTCAAGGGTTCTGATAAAGTCCAGACTTTCTCGCACGCCCTCAACAATCCGATCAATATTCTTACTATCGCGTAGACCTGATTTCAATCGACTGCGCAAGGCCTGCTGAACGACAGTTGACGATAAAGAGAGACCAATCACGGATCCCAATGAGCGGAACAGATACGAGCAAGCGGTGACAACTGCCTGATCTTCAT